AATAATAGCCATCCAGAAAACTTGATATATATATATATATATATATATATATATATATATATATATATTCTTTTACTTCGACGATTTGGCTGCAAATTAACATTTCAAGATATGTCTCAACGTCGAACAAAAAAATCTAAAACTCATATATATATATATATGTATATTCCACATTTTTATTAAAATTTTGCGTCGAGCTTAAAAAGAGAAAATTCTAACTTGTGCCTATGTATTTCAATGCACGTGAAAGAATGCAATTTTAATTAAAATTCATATATATTAATTAATATACAAAATATTGCGTCAGAGTATTATTCTATAGTGCGCGGTACCACAGTAGAACAATTAGTTCTGCACATATTTTTGCTTTGTAATATTATTTTAGGTGCATATATATATATATATATATATATATATATATATATCAACTAATTTAAATATAAATTATATTTTGATTTGACTTTTTGATAAACACTGATGAAACAGTATTATTATAATTAGAATTTAATGAGCAAAGTAAAATTTATATTAAAAAAAGTATTGTCTTGTAAAGTAAAATATATATTACAAAAGTATTGTAAATAATAGTGTAAAATAAATATGAGCAGTTTTAAAACTGTGAATACAGCTCGTTTGTCTTAGGCCACACAATTTTAATTTATACATTTTATTTTAGGGTAAAATAGAAGGACTGAAAGGATTTGAACGAAGAAAAATTCAGATGGTTGATGACTTACGCGAGAAGAAGAAATACAGAGAACTGAAAGCCGATGCACAGGAGCAGGAAGCATGAAACCAGAAATTTGGAAAGGAAAATTCATAAAAACGAATATAAAGTGATTAATTGTCATTAATTGATGGTAATGAAACGGTAATGAGAATAACAAACAAGGGAGAAGAAAAAATCATTGATTTTGTGGAGCTCTCATACGATGAACCTGCCTTCGGGCAGACTACTATACATTTATTATTATTATATATATTAAGTCTATCGAAAAGTTCTGTCCGAAATTATGACATCATTTTGGACACATTTGTTGCATGTTTATTTATTGCATGCCCTGCGTTGTACTATATAGTTATATTACATTTTTTTTTATTTTTAAATATTTTGGAAATTTTGTACTTTCTTCCAATGCAATTGAACTGCTGTAGCTGCCGAAGAGACGAATTATCAAAGCGCGTAAGCGCCGCGTCGCCGTCCAACGGACAAACGATGTAACGGAACCCATAGAAATGTAAACAAAATTGATACTCATTAATAAAATTTCTAAACAATATCTGATAATTTGATGTGCATATGTCTAATGATCATTTTTTTTAACTTATTTTTATTGAAGACCACAACCGTTAGACCTGCTGATTTTTAACTTCCCGTAGGGCAAGTTATAGTAATCGCAAAAAAATCAAAAATGAAAATTTTTATATATCTTTACGTTTCAAAATATTCTGAACATTTTGGCATACCTTAGAAAAAATGGATGTATGTGTGTGTGTATGTATGTGCGTGTGTGTATGTATGTGTGGATACAAATTTTCGTCGACGATTTCGGGAACACGGATCAACCGATTTGAATAATTCAAAAAACATTCGATTCGTATTGATAAGGAGACGTGCTGATTAGTTTTTGGCGAGGGCAGGTCTAGCCGTTCCGAAGATACGGGGCAAAAAATGCCGAAAACGGTAACACAGTTTTTAAGAGAACGGAGCGTCCAATTTGAATAATTCAAAAAACATTTTACTTGTATTGACAAGATAAAGAATTGATCAAATTTCATGAAGGCAGGTTTAGCGGTTTCGGAGATCTAATGAAAAAAGTAAAAAAAATGCCATTTGGCGGTTAAAAATAATCATTAGACATATGCACATCAAATTATCAGATATTTTATAGAGATTTCAACAATAAGTATTTGCGCGCTTTGACATTTCGTCTCTATGCAGTTCAAGCAGTACGATTGCTTTGAAAAAAAGTTCAGAATTTCCAAAATATGTCAAATTGGAGAAAACATTTATCTTTTCAAAAAAATTTTGTTATCAGAAAAAATTTTTTTTTTCAAAAAAAGTAGTTCATTGTCAAATTTATAGTTTTTCAAAAATCTATTTTTTTCGAAGTAAAATTTTTTTAAAAATGTTAATCGTTTTTAAAAAAATAATTATTTTTGGTACGGGAAGTTCCAGCAATTTGTCTTAAGGCACGATGCCTTAATTGCCTTAAGACAGAATTCCACTTACAGCTAGTTGTTTTTTTTTGCCCCGTATCTTCGAAACGACTAGACCTGTCTATGCCAAAAACTTATCAGCACGTCTACTTATCAATATGAATCGAATGTTTTTTAAATTACTCAAATCGGTTGATCCGTGTTCCCGAAACCGTCAACGAAAATTTGTATCCACACACACACACATAAATCCAATTTTTCTAAGGTATGCCAAAATGTTCAGAATCTTTTGAAACGTAAAGATATATAAAAATTTTCATTTTCGATTTTTTTGCGATTACTATAATTTACCCTACAGGCAATTATATAACATGGAAATAAACTTATATTTCCAGTTACGTTAGTAAAATTGTGAAAAATGTTTAAATATAGTTTAAATGTTCATATTACTATATCCTCACAATGGAAATAATATAATACAAATGAACAAGGAAAATGTTTTTTCTATTTTTAATATAAGGATAATCAAATTTTCTACTGAATGAAGGCTAAAACTGTAGGCGAGTTTAGAACAATTTTTTAAAAATATTCATGTTTTTCATTGTTATCATACCCGATTATTAGAATCTGCCAATATATATATATATATATATATATATATATATATATAACTACAGTCGTATGCGAGCGTATGCACGTGCTTGTAGGTGTGTCGGCATACAGCCACGCCAATATATAAATATAATATATGAAGATATTATGTTGCACGCATGCATATTTATATTAAATATAAAATTATTTGCTTTTTATTCGGCAAAGACTCTACGCATGCCCACAAGGTAACCAAGACTACAGACCTACGCTTGTCCCGCTCTACTTACAACCCATGATCGAATTATCGATCCCATTCTCGCGAGACGTATTTAATTTAACAAACAAATTTATATTAAGAACCATATAAATGTCAGTTAAGGAAGATAAATAAATTTATATTATGATAAAACTATCTTCACGTAAACTATGAGTAATTCGCATTATGAGAATTGCACGTTTGGCTCACCTTAATGTCTAATATTTTTTCTAAGCATAGCGCTTTTTTGTAAATTAAAATCTCATTTTATTCAATTTAAAAAAAAAATGAAATCAATGAGTTTGACTTTTTGTTAAAGTTATTAAAATCACGAAAAGTTCTGTATATGTTGAACATCATTTTGGCACACCTTAGAAAAAATACAGGGAACTGAAAGCCGAAGCCCAGGATCAGGAAGCATGGAGCAGAAGTTTGCACATTAAAATACATAAAATGTGTAAAGGGGGGTGGGTATAGTGGTAATGAAATTATAGGCGACAAAGGATAATGGAACATTTATTTGTGGTGGTTCTCACACCATGAACCTGCCTTCGGGCAGGCTACCATTTATTGTTATTATTACTTTATTATTATTACATGAGACCAACGTGAAGACGTGGGCTATCACAAACTAGTACCGTATTCGACTTCAATCTTGCTCATGCTCCATATCAGGCAGTATGATATCAAATTTGCACTTGAGACTATAGATCTCACATATAATCTCATGTGAAAAATGCCTTCCGCGGACATTGCTGCACCACACGTAAGTCAACATATTATCAAAGAGAAATATTTAGTATATAGTACATAGTAGTATGAAATAAGAGCGATTAACCGCTGGGTTGCTTTAAGAATATCCGACTAGGAATGCAAGTTAGCAAACACAGTTCAAATAACACGTAATTCTGATCGCCGTTACAAAAAAAATTAAAAAATAAAATACAAAAAGATGCCCACATATATTTGTTCAATTTTGGTATTACAAGATTCAAGATAAAAACCTCGAATTAACTTAAAATTAGCTAATTTTTATTTTCTGGCTTCACATAATATAAACTAAAAATATAAATATTTATATTATTTTAGAAATAGTAGGAATGTAAGGTGTAATAATTAACTTTCTTCCGTGCCACTTAAGAGGTGAAGTTGCAAATCGCGTTTTCTTTTCTGTGGTGTCGCCATACAAATCGCGTTATATCCTTATTATCAATTTTTTTTTTAAACATTTGAGAAAAAATTGGATGTCGATAAATAGGAAAAATATGGATTTGTAAAACCCTAATCCACTGAAACCAAAATAAACTTTGAATCTGATCGACCAAGGTTAATTGAAATGACCCGAAAGAAACCTGAAAAAAATGGCACACTATTTCCAAGATGAGAAATAATATAAACACGAGAACGATAATAATAATTTATTAGAAGAATAGTGCATTTCATGAATATAAATATTGTTTAGTAACATATCGGTGTATTTTATATAGTCTAATTTACATTGTTATTGGAAACGTTTATTTCGAGTGATGTGAAGACACCTCCCAGGTACTCAATGCTACCTCGATTTTAGAAATATTTTAATTTTGTATATAGTCAATCTTAATATTAATCAATTAATTTTAACCTTTTTAAATCTTTCTTCATGTTTATACAATATAATACAGTTATTGTTGTAAGCATGTCTCACTACGACTATTTTGTTGATTGAAACTTAGTGATATTACATTTGTTACATTTCATATACAAGAGCATATTTTTCTTTATTTAGGCATTTTAACCATTTTTTTTTATTAAACTTGATAGAAAAATTTTAATTAATAAAATTATTTGTTCAATGTAAGTGTAATTCATGAACTAGTTTTATCACTTGGGAATGCATTTTTACATGCAAGAGTTCACAAATCTTTTTGATAGTTCATGAAATTTTTGAGAATATTGAAAATGCTTGCTTTGTATTTTTCATGATTACCAACTCTCGTTAATGTTCTACTTATTTGTAAGATAAGTTATATTTTGTGTATAATAAAATACATAAATATGCGTTAAGGCGTTTAGACAATTACATGATCCGAAAAATTATGTAACCCATTAGTGAATAATTCCGTTATAGTGCCTGAAAGAGGACACGAAGACGATAGATAAAACTTGTGAACTAAAAATATTTATCACAAAATCTTACATATTTATGTCGTCCCATCTGCATCAGGCTGACCAGTCCACCATGCTTCCAGGCGATGCCGGGGGTCACATGGTATTCCTTTGACTACCACGCGAAAATTCTACAATCCTGAAATTAAATGAGAAAAAATTTATTAAGTATAGTCATTATGAATGATGACTATTGAGAGTGGTATGCATTTATTTATTTATAAATTACGAGGCTTTAGACCGTGAATATTTTCGCAACAAACACTCGGTCAAAATTATAATAACCCTCTTCGGCCATTTGTCCATTTTCCACCTTTTTACTGTTGCGAACGTATATTTGTTTTCAGTCACCATGACAAGTTACTATACGAATCGTCTACTGTAGGTATTCATACAGCATACAGTAAATATAAACATAACTTTTATATAAAAACACTAGATAAGTGTATTATTAATAAAAATATATATTAAGTTGACAATACAATTACTGAATCTTGTTTACACATTTCATGTTCTTTCTACCGGCGGAAAGTAATTCCACTACGATACACATCTCCAAATTTAATACGTCCGAAAAGTTATAATAAAAAAATTATTACAAATAAAAACCAAACTCTTTTGACTACAATCCAATAGATAACTCGATGAATCTGAATATACATCAAAAATGTTTTAGAAAATGCTTGAAAAATTTTTAGAATACTTTGTAATAATGAAAGACTTACCATGTTATAAGTGTTGTCACCACAAGCTCTGGATACAAAATAATATCATCACGAGTTGTATGCCGCTTATATACCCAATTGTGGGGCCAAGAACGCGCCATAACTGCAATTTGTTACCACCTTCATAATAAAATTCAAATTCAAATTCGAATTGAAAATATGTTATCAAACGGGTGTCGAATATTCGGTTGGTATCTTATTTTTAGAAATAATTCAGGTTCAGAACCATTGACAAAATCGCAAACAAACTGCCTTTTTGTTATTACTTATTACTTATACTTACATGCGACATAACTATTGGATTGGTGAAAAATTAATAAAACGAGATGAAGGCGAAATTTCGTTTTAAGAAAAGTGGCATGAACGATATTTATGATATACTTAATATTTTGAGTAAGTATAAATTTTTATTAACATTTATGAGTGATTTACAAGTATATTTTTGAGAAATACTTTGAATATAATACATTATTCGACGCGCGATTAATGTACATAATGTACGCTCTAAAAGCGCTGTGCAAATGCAAACATTGATGAATTTTAATAATTGAACCACTTTTTGTACCATGTTTGTTAAGGGAAACAACTTTATCACTATGCAAGTTTCATTAATATTATCGAAAAAATGTTTCAAAAAGTGATTGCGGAGAACCGATTTTTTTCAAATTCTAATAAGCACAATTTCAAATTTTTTTAAATCTAACGTTTTTGACGATCAAGATACACATTTATTAATTAAAAAGTTGAATGAAATAAACCAACTAATTGGTAAACAATAATTTGCATCAATATTATTATATGGCTTGAAAAACATATTAACTATAATAACAAAATACGTGTTTGTTTGCTTCATTTAGGATACACTTTTACCCAAAATTTAAATTTAGAACACAAAGTATACATTTAATCCAGATTAAGTTTTAAGAAGAAAATAGTCCATAACATGTATTTTGTCGCATTTTTGTGCAACGTATATTCGAAGATAACCATAAAAACTACAAAGATTAAATTCATTCCATACATACATCACGTAATAGACTAGATAAAGATATACTTTTGTTATGTTGTTTTCGTTATTCACCAAATTTAATTACTATTGGCACGTTCCAATGCACGAAAAAGATTTAAACATCAATAAGAGAATTGTCATACTCTTTGATAAAGAGTAAATAGATTTGACTGATTTAATGTAATTTATACATACTTACTATCATTACTATAACACTTTGTTTTTTTTTTAAAAAAATTCTGCCTTTTCGGTAAGTGTTAGTGCACGTTGGTACAAATCAACTTTCCGATGGTTGCATGTAAGTACACTTATCTAAACCAACTATCTGATAAATTTTCTTCTAGGTATGTAATCAACAATTTATTAAACCATTTAAATAGTTATACATTTAGTTATACCTATACTATCCTCTATCATTAAGTATAAAATGGTATTTAAAATAGATTATTATTTTAGAAAAACATGAATTATTAAATGTATTTACATTAAATGTCCTATAACTAACATAAAGTGCTATTGCACTTGACAACTTTTGTTTTCCTCATTTATTCTAACCGTTCCTGAACTGGTGTTAATAATAATAGAGTAATGCTCGTATGGTTTAAATTTTTGAACAAATGAATGATACGGATTTTGCCACAGCCATAAAAAGAATTTTTATGACATTTTTTAGATTTGTCATAGCAATTGTATGAATTAAGTTATATTTTATTATGACTGAAAAATTATCCATTAATTCTATAATCGAGCTCCTATAAATACATACAATATTTTATAAATATGGAATGCTCATTTAAGATTATGATTATTATTTTTAATGTTGAATATGTGATGCAATAATATTATTGTTATTTTCGCATATAATGGCTGAAATAATTTATTGTTTTTATATAAAAAATAAGCTAAATCTGTCATTTTTAGTTTGTTGATCAAGATAATTGCGTTTCATTTCTTATTTATAATATTTATATAAATTACGAGCTAAAAATAATTAAGTATGATCTGATAAATTACAATTTTTATTTAGTACCTTCGAATAAATAAGAAAACTAAATACAAAACTATTGGGTTTGGCAAAATGATTCGATTTCTTAATGCTACAAGACGACGTCAAAAAGATGTCAAAAAAACAAATACACCGATTTTTTAAAAAAAATGCTGATCTCTTGCGAATAAAATGTTGATGTTTGAACACACATACACACACATGTGTTCACACATATATATTATACATGAATATAATACATACACGCACACACACTATATATATATATATATATATATATATATATATATATATACTATATATATGATATATATATATATATATATATATACTATATACATTTGTATATGTAGCTACATCGTCGAAGTTACATATGCGTATCAATACAAATATTCATATGACAAATGAATGATAAATGTGTTGAGTTTTGATGGCGTTTTTACAAATGCTGATGATTTGAGAATAAAAACACAAAATTGTGGTTTCTACAAAAAGTCGTATTTTATTGGCTGAATAAAAAGGACACTTAGAAACACGAACCCTGCTGCCATCAGCAGACTTGTTGCAGGGTAGGTATAATCTCCAAATTTATTTGCAAACACACACATGGAGACACACATACATAATTTGAATCATATATTTCAATGTATGCATAAGACCCAATCAAAGGGTCTATTTTTGATACCGATATTCTAATGAGTATAATTACTTAATAATGATAGATACAAATAAAACTTACAGTTATGTATACAAAGTTCTCGATACTTGAATTATTCAAGTTACAGAAATCATTAAAACCAAATTAGTTTTAAAAAATTTTAATTATAAAATTTAATCGATTTCTATACAATCAAACGATTCAAGTGTTATTTAGCATGTGTTTGCTAAATATCGAATTAAATACTCGAATACAAAATATTATTATAAAATTCCTTTAGTTTATTATTTATATCAATAAATTTATTTTATAATTTACATAATTTTCAAACTCCAAATACATGGCGATCATGCCTTAAGCCACTTGAATAATCACTAATTTTTAGACACATTGACTGACTTTAAATACGGTAATTAGTAAAACTATTTCTCTACATGCATTTCACTTGCATTTTTATTCGCTAAATTATTTATACTATTAGACAATTATATAAATGTATATCTACATCAAAACTTAGTGATTCATGGCTGCAAGATGATCACGTATTATTTCTTCGAAATTTGAAAATTTGACTTCTAAATCTACGAACAAAATTTATGCACCAATAGTAAAATAATTTAATAAACGTTCTCAGTCGATTTCTATTTATATAAAAAAACCAAACGGAACTATGATTGTTTCAATAATATGTTATACACATATACGAGCATGAATATATACATACACTCGTACGCAGTTTAGACACAAAGTACATATATATATATATATATATATATATATATATATATATATATATATATATATATATATAAACGTAGATTGTAATTTTTTGAAGTACGTAAAAAACATCTCTCAACAAAATACTTCATCATGTAATGCTGGTACATAATACGCTCTTAAGAGGCGTTTCTTCACGAATGTCAGAATAAGAAGTACTGCTATATATTTGAATAAAAACTCAGTTCGGTTACTTCCGCATTTGATTACTGAGAGATTTTGTTTGAATATTAATTGCTTAATTTTTCATCACGTATACCATGGCACTGGCTATCGTTAAGCTTTAATTTAAAGTTTATGCAATAAATTTGCGATAAATTCACATCATAATTTAGTAAAATAATTAAGGATTTAAAAATCTTCATCTTCTTCGGCGGCTCGACGCTGCAGCAATCATTTGCCTCAGCATTGGTTCTGGACTACAAACTTTAGGTTCACACTGCATTTGCCCGTCTCCTCCGCATCTATGAATATTAAGAAATTTGTAATACATATTCTCGAACGGAACATATCGCTAGTGTAGTAGATAAGTTTTAGGTATAAAGCATGATATTTAAATATAATACTCACATGCAATGAAGACATGGCCCACTGGCGCTACGTACA